CCCCAAAACCCCAAAACCCCAAAACCCCATAGAACAGAAATTCAAAATTGAGAGAAATTTCTAGAAATCGAATAAAATCTATTAACCTAATGTGCTAGTTAATATTAAACATATCTTATTGCCTACATCTTAAACTAATCACTGAAAAAGTATATGCTAGAGGAGAAAAACCTAGATCTTCAGCAACCGCTCTACGATAAGTAAGCGGAGAGAAATCTGCAAAATCCTGATGAATATTATGGGAATTAGAGTTCAAACAGCATTGTGAATCAAAGGCTAATTGAGAAGTATGATCAGCTTCTAAAAATTCCATTCGGATCATAAGTCACGATGAGAGATTTTTAACTATAGTCTTTGCAAATATATAATGAGAAATACTTATTGGCAACTATGGAATATACTGGAGAAGACTGCATAATGTTGAAAGAGATTTAGCTCTTACATTTTGATAACTTTCAGATATTGAAAAGAAGAGTTTTAGAATATTAAACTCTCCGTATGACATAATTTACATCAAACAACCAAAGATATTTCCATTTATTTGATCTTGATAACAACGAATATAAAGTATACATTACTGAAGACTTACTGGATGGAAAAAAAGAATTCTTGAAAATCAAGTTAAACTGGGAAGAAGGATTCATTTTAAAAAATATGAGCATTCTTGATGATGATCACATCTTTTTCTCAACTCCATATTAAACTTAAGAAGAAGATGTTTAAACTTCTTTAGAGTAAATTGGATTGATGAGATTGAACATTGAACTCAATAAACTAGATCATTAATGCTTAACAGTAATCGATCTTAAAGAATACTATAGTGACTTAAAATAGAATGTTGATTCCGTTTAAAAATCAGAGATTCAAGTTTTTTCATCAAAAGATATGATGATAACTTATCTTGTTGGAGTAAAAAATTAGACCTTATCAACACTTCAATGCAAAGATTTTTTAGTGCTATATCCATCTTCAACATTAGAAGAATCTGAGAATCAAGTCGAAGATATTAAGCTTTATCATCAATAAGATACATTGGTTTTGAATGCTAAGACCTTGGAAATACACAAGATCTATCATGATATTATACTCTTCAAATAATAGTATCAAGGTTATGGGATCTGCAATCGGGTACTTCACTAGTTGGATCTTTATCAATTACTTGAAAATGGTGAGATTCAGCCCATAAATACATTCAAATTAACAGAGGATAAGATCAAATCCGAATATGATTATGATAGTAATAATATTTAAGTTAGCAAGAATAAGATAGTTATATTCTAGTCCAATAATGATAATTTCATGGCAACAATATACAACAGAAAAAACTTTAAACTTTTGAATGAATTCAAAATTCCAAAAGAGGAATTTTATCATTATCCATACGTATTAGGGAATACGGATTTTACTAAATTCTGTGCTGTATTCGAAGGCGGATAGAATTCCTATCAAATTAAACTTACATACTCTTATTGCGATTTCAACAATAACTAATGGTACTAAGATTCTCCTAAAAGTATAATCAAGAGTGAAATCGAGTAAATTTCAGTAGATAATAAGAGCAATACTATTGCTTACTTTGATAAATAAAATCTCATAATCTGCGATAAAATTTCATTCCAGTAATAGTTTGTTAAAGATGAATTATTGACACAAAGAAAGAACATTGGATAAGCAAATTCTTCGTTTTTAAGGAGCTAAGTCACTGAACTATCATTATTGGAACAAATTGATACTTTAGGAAGGTTTAAACGACATTTTAAATTAGGTTAATTACTTTGCCTCCTCTAATTTTAAGGGAGTGATGGAAAGATTACCCTAATTATAGTTGATTTGAAAAACCCTAGTTCTCAAATCAAGATAGACAACGGTGACAAGCCTATATAATAGGTTCTTTTGCTAAGTCAAGATCAACAAAGAACATAATTTACAATAGCTTTAAAGCAAAATTATTCGTAGTTAAACATTCTAAAAATAAACATTAACGATTAAAAATTCTAAATTGAAGAAGTTTTTGGAAATAATGAACCAAGACTCTTGTATCTTTCAGAAGATCCCTATTTCGGTGTAAAAAATGTTATATTGCTTAGAACAACAGGATTTTATATCTTTGATCTTATTAAGATGCAAGAAAGACAACTTTAGCAAGACCATATTAAGACTTAATTTAACCCTAACTTTTATGGTGCGATGCTTGTTGATTATTAATAAAGAATTTTTTATGCCTATTAAAGAAATACCACATACTTCTATGCTATTGACTTTGATACAGGAGAATATTTAAATATAGGCTTTAAAGAAATTCCTAATGCAAGTATCGAAAAACTTAAATTTATATCTGGCTATCTTGTTGGACACTTAGGCGATGACGAATTTGTGTACTTTTAACTCTAAAATAGGAAAATCCATAAAACTATTAGAATAAAATATTCTACAGCAAGATTAAGAAGATATGATTAAATACATATACCCTACAAACTCAGATGGTAGGATATCACTGAATAAAGAGATAAATAAAACCTATTTTCAGTTCTTGACTTGATTCAGCATGTGAAAGAGGCAAAATATATCGACATATGTGAGGAGAAAGGCATAGTATTCTACGAAGATATTGATAGCTCCTAACCTCTAAGCTTTTTCAATCCATTCTTTACTTCGCTAGATGTGTAAATAGTTAGTGAAATGGCTGACAAAAATCCAAAACAACAAATCTAACATATCTAAAATAATCTAAAATCATATTTGAAATATTACCCTGAAATAGGAAATATATTCAACGTTGTTGCTCTTAAAGATTCACTTCTATAATAAATGCCAGCAATGCTTGAAACTATTGAACAAGATGAAATTCCAGCATTATTTCTAAAAAAATCTATTCCTTATGGTAAATCACCTCTCCAAGCTGCAATTGAATGTAACTAGAGAAAAAATATTCAAACTATTGTCGAATTGATTCTAAAGTACTAAGGAGATAAAGCCTTTAACTATCTCATTGACGAAAATCTCTGCAGTTTAATGAAGCAAAAAATAGATTTAACCAATTATTTTGCAAGTAACATGTCTATGTACCAGATCTAAACTGATAACTTCAAACCACTTCATCCTGACCCTACAGAGCTCATTGCTAGTATCAACGGAATAGAGAACCTTTAAGAAATTGAATCGAAATATGATGAAATTTTTGGTCCTCTTTTATTAGACTCTCATGATGAGAATCAAGAAATAAGCGCTATTGAATATTTTGTGATTAATTTGCCTCAAACAATAGCATCAAATGACCCAAAATACCTTATGCAAACACTTAGCTAGTCTAATATTGATGAATACTTTGAAAATGTTACCATTTAAACAATCATCATGTACAAGTGGGAAACCTATGCAAAGAGATATTTCAGTAACTAATTCTTCATGTTTTTGATATTTTTGTGCTCTTACATCTTTGAGGTATTTTACTCTCTTAAGCTGGGGAAAACTCAAAAAGAATACATCTAAGACGAACGAAATCAATGGATTATGATTTCTAATAAGATTCTAAGCATTCTTATATTGTTATACTTCTTGATGCATGAAATCAAATAAGCTTAATTAAAAGATGGTTACCTTAAGGAACTTTGGAATTTATTTGATTTCTCTCTCATATTCGTTTATGTATTCATGAACTTTATTGAGTTTCTAACTGATTATCAGAACATACTAATAGTCTTACAGATTTTAATCGTGGTTTTATCATTTATCAAGGTTAACTTTTTCTTGAGGATTTATGACAATTTTAGTTTCTTAGTAACGATGATCTCTAGTGTGTTTGCAGACATAAAATACTTTTTTGGATTCTTCATAATATTTATCGTTTAATTTGGACTAATCCTCAGTATTTTATTCTAAGATTAATGGATCGAAGAATATGATAACATAAGTTCTATTTCCTATTTCTTAATGGCATTCAGAATTTCCTCTGGTGATTTTAATACTGATGGCTATAAAGATTAGTAATCTTATTTGGTCATAATTACATGGATTATCTGGATAGTTGCAGTTCTTGTTTTAAATGTGGTATTCATGAATTTCATTATTGCAGTCATTTCAGAGTCTTATGAGAGGATAATGCAAAAATAAGTAGCAGAATAGTTTAGAGTTAAAGTATAGCTTATAGCAGAGAGAGAATTGTATTTTAAAGAAGATGATCTGCAAAATCGGTAGTACTTCCCTCACCATCTCATTTTGAGAAAGCCAATCAATTAAGCCGAATCAGAGAATGGTAATTTTGCTTTTTAACTTTATATAGGAGAGTTATAAGGTTTTATGAAAGATATTAAGGAAACAATTAATAATTCAGCTAAGAAAACAAAGAGCGAAATTATCTAAACCTTGACTAGCAGTATTGCAACCAAGAATTCCTTGGAGGAATACAATTCAAAGAATTAGGCAAAACTCTCAGAATTGGAAGGTTAAATATTTGATATTCAAAAGACTCTCGCATTGATTTTGGAAAAAGTTCAAAACAATAATAATCAGAGCTCTTGAATTCAAATTATTGACTAAGCAAATACTTAAGGTATCCAAAACATTACCTGAAGTTAATACTTAGTATATTTCAGCAAGAATATTTTTATTAAAAATTCATCATCAACTTCCAATTTAATTTGTATCTTGGGGTTTTGGGGTTTTGGGGTTTTGGGGTTTTGGGG